GTAGAGTGCCTAAAGAGCAAAAGGTTGAGGAGCTCTGCTGTAAGCAATGTTCGTCAAAATGGATGAAAAAATTAAGATGACTGTTGTGATTTATCCCTCTGTGTGAAACATATCTAAAATACATATATATTTTTTTTAACTAATTGCCCCCATAAATAAAAAATTACCAACAATAATGCAACATCTTCACCTTTATTAAACATTATGCCAATGCTTGTTTTCTTTTTCTAAGGAACAAACAAAGCAAATTATGGAACTTTTTTATGTGTGCCGCTAAATCAATATGTACTTTGTCAAAAGTGTTTAGTGTTACACATTAAACAGAAAATAAGTGGCCAGTCTGATGTCTTACCTGGGTGTGGGCCTCTATAGCTGCCTTCAGGTGGAGGTTGAATGCTTTTCTCTATTACTCTGGGTTCAGACTGTAGGACCCTGCCTCTCTTCCTGCAGGTTTCTAAAAGTTGCTCCTTTAGCCCAACAAACTGAGAAAGACAAGACATCTGAGGAGAAAGACAGATTTATTTAGAGTTCAAACAACTTCTAACATAACTGGAAACAGCCCCACATCCCATACATTGTTAACATTCAGAAACCTGATGTTTAAACTCAGTGGAAATAAACTTTTCCTCTCTTTAAGCCTTGCATGAACCAAGTGCTTTATCTTTATTCTAGACTCACATCATTGTCAAGCAGCTCTGGTTTCTCCACACCGCTGTGTGCCTGCAGGTACTTGGAGTGGAACAGCTGCCCGTCAAAGCTGTGCCAAGGCATCAGAGCAGCACTGGGCAGCGGGCAGCCACTGGCATTGTTGGCTCCCACCAAGTGGCTTAGTCCTCGTACGTAGAGAGATCCCAGCTGCACCGCTCTACTGGAAAGGAAGGGCAGCTGAGAACAGAGAAAGTTGGGTTTTTTTTATACATGGGATACAACATTTCTTTTTTCTATTTGTTCGACAAAAAGGTGCCACAGTTGAGGAGTACAAAAATAGGAAACAGAACATGTTTTTGTTTTCAAAAGCGAAAAACTGCAGCTAACAAAGTGAGGACAGCTCTACTATCAAGGCCAAATATCGCTGAATGCAGTGGAATAACAACTACTTCAAAAACAATCCATCTGCCCTAAACAACAATGAATAATGAACAACATGCTGCAGAAATTAAACAATGGGCAATCTTCTCTGGCAAATTTATCCTTCATGCCCTTTTTGTGTTCAAGACAAATTAATGAACAAAAGACCACCTAAGAAGTGTTACAACTTGATTATATAACCCAGATGGTGTAGAAAGAAGGTGGTTTTCTGGCTGTGTGGTCAGGTATTTACTCCATTTCTCTTCATAAAGCATTATCACTTCATGGCTTAGTTGGTCTCAGGATTTGTCCTGTTTGTCTATCAGCTGTGTTGTGGTGGTGGAGCCATTTTCCGGGAAAGTAAAGTTAGGATTCAGAGAGCTGTTCCAGTCCTTCAGTAGTGATTGTGTTGTTTGTAGGGGACAGCAGTCAAGATGGAGGGTTCAAGTTGGCAACTTCTCAAAGCAGATTCAATTTCTGCTATCTGAACAATTCGAGACTCTAAAGTTCTCCAGGACTCCAGTCAAAAATTATAATATTTTTTTTCTATTGCTAAAAAATGTGCTCATCTACCATCACAGATGCAGACAACATTCTATTCTGACTAAATAAGGCGTAAAAGTTTATCCAACCTGTACTGCTTTAACAGCTTCAAACTATCTAGGTAACAATTTGATACGAAGGTATGGAGTGTCAAAACCTTTTTCTGATTTAGGCTATAAATATCAACAGAAAGACTGTCCCTCTTGGATGACATGAAGAGGCTTTGGAAAAATTTGAAAACAACTGTGTTATGTAGCTCCTCATGTAGTGTGGTGTTGTGAGCTTGCGGTTTGCGCTTTACATGCCACTCTGGAGCCGGCCAAAATATTAAGTACAAGTGCAAAAGCAGCATGTAGTATAGAAACTGTAGACGTGTTAATTTTATGCGCAGCGTGCACATGCATCAAACATAAACCAAGCTTTATAGCCTTTACTCTATTTCAGGCCTGCCCAGAGTCGGCCCTTGAGGGCCACTGCCCTGCAGGTTATAGAGGTTTCCCTGCTTTAGCACAGCTGACTCTGATGATTGCAGTTCAGCAACAGCCTGTTAATCAGCTATTAGTTATTTGTTCTATGTTTCACGCAAATTTAACCCATTAAACCTGAAACCTGAAGGCATGTAACAGAAGTGTTAGGAAATTTGATGTTTTGCAGAGCTTAAGTTTTCAGATTTTCATGAATTAATCTTTCATCATTTACATACCATTCATCAAATTCCAATTAGATTATTTTGTGGGGTTTTTTGTACAGTAATTAAACTTACTATAAATATGCTATTTATTATTTTTACTGAAAATAAAGCATATAGTAAGTTATACAGAATAAAAAATAATTGTTTATTTTCAACCTATTTTCTCTTCAACTGTTCTTTTTTAAATGTAGCCTAGGCAGAAGTTCAACTGAAGAAACAGTGACACAGCCAATCAGCTTTGAACCCACGTTCACGAAAGCCAATCGGCATCCAAAGTTCATCTTAAAAGGCCTCCGATACGCACCTGTCTGCTCCTGTGCGCTAGCGGTGGATGCGCTGTCTGACTTCATTCAGATGACACCGTTTCAACCCACCTCCAGCCCCTCCTCCACCATCGTAGCTAAAGCTTCATCAGAGTGTCATTCCTCCTGGACTCTTACTGTGTTCCTTGTCTCATCTTAACCGTTCTGGCAGAAGACCGCCATTTTGAGCCTGGTTTTGCCAGAGGTTTCTTCCCAACGGGGAGTTTTTCCTCTCCACTGTCGCTCCATGCTTGATCATCATGGATAGGTTCTCTCAGCCTGTGTTATCCAAGCTGGACTTCCATCTCCCAGGTCCCTGAGTGAAGCTCTAGTATCAGCTCCCACAGTCCACTGGATCTCCCCATAAAACTCAGCATACCGTCTCGCTAACCAGCAGTCTACAGACTGACCAACTGCATCTATCTCCACTCCTCCACCAGTTTCAGGTCTGGGGGGAAACAGCCCTATTCTTTGCTCCTGTTCATGCATATCTATCAAAATTAAGCGCCATGTTTCCTGCCGAGGTCTGAGCGCAAAAGACAAAGTAATTGTATTAAAACATTTCTCCTAATTGTCTCTTCATGTGAGTTTTTCAGATTGAACTATACAAGATTTTCCTTTAGGTCAAACAAAATTTTAAGTTTAAAGTAAAGTGTGTCTTCTGGAAGCTGTAATGACTGGTGTAGGTACAGACAGCACATGATAAATAACTTAAAGAGGAAATAGTAGCAGAGACATCAAAAAAACATTTAGACAAGATAGGTAAAAACTTGTCATTACCTCATTGTTTCTGCTGAAGCAGCAGGAGACAACCTGTTTACAATTTTCTAGAATCATCTGCACTTCTACAGTTTGGAATAAAAACATATTGATGTCTTGTGGGAAAACAGGCAAATGTCCCTCATTCAGAGCTCTTTCTTTTACTGAATAAAAACACAGAAGGTTTCATTTGATCAACAATTGCCTATTCTTTAATTTTAAAACACTACATTTTCTTTTTAAATTGGCTTAACTAATAAATATCTACACACCAACATTTGGCTTTACTTTCCTTCAGTTCAAAAAATACTGACTTATCTGTGGTAATATGCTAAGTGTCCAAACCTGCAGAGAAGATTTATCATAGCAGCATAAACAGCTAACCTTATCTGCTTCAGTCTTACACATAAAGCAGCCAATTACATCAAACTCAAACCACCTACTTGACTGTTACTTTCCCCTGGTAACTGTCAGATAGTGGAGACAAATCTGTCCATTTATCTGTCTTCCTACTTCCTAAAGAGTTGAGATTACCAGGCAAAGATAAGTGGTGAGATAACACAACACGTCTTTGGGGGAATATATGTGACTCCTGCTCAGAAAATACAGGCATGAAGGTATTTTAAATAGCAAGGAAAATTTGTGCTAAATAAAAAAAAGTGATAAAAAATTGTGTCAGTGTCAGGGATGAGCGATGTAAACATAAACCATTAAAACTTTTGACACAACAATAATTTGGAGGATCTTCGAAGGAAACAGCTAATGAGAAAAAGAGCCACTGAAGTGCATCATTCTGCCATTTAATGCAAGTCAAAATCAATTTCCTCTTTTTAAATCAAGCAAAAATCTTTATTCGATATTAAATACCTTTAATATAACTTTCATGAAATTTGGACTACACCATCGATACTCCCATATGTTATGCTAAACTTTACACACGTGTACACAGATGCAGGAAAAAAGACAATGTTTTAACCTCATTTCATTGTTTGATTAAACTAATCTGTGTTCTTTAGAAACTGTCAATACAGTCCAATAAAACCAATTGTCTCAACAAGTCACCTTCACTGATGGATTAAGTTTAAAATATTGTTGAAGATCTCACTGAGCTATGTTCAACTATGGTTCATCCCCAAAAAAACTTCCAATGACACTGTGGAGCAGCTAAACTGACAGACTGACTCTGGAGGAGCTGCAGAGCTCCACAAATGGGTTTTCTTACAGATTATTTTAGCTTTATCTTCTTTAGCTTTATCTTTCTGCTAAAGAAAGGCATCATCCATGATGCTGTTAGCATTACATGTCATTATGGCAGTTGTCATTAACAGAAGTATGCATTTCTATTCTGTAACCCAAACTCTGACCTGGGTATCTGCTTGCATATGTTTGATGCGTCATCCACGTTTTTAAACCAAGGATTGGCAAACTTCTTATGGCTTTCTTCATAACAGATTTTTCTTTCCAGAAGGCGTACAGGAGAGCCCAACACTGATCAGCTTTATAGCTCAACTCAAACTATGGATGAAAACAAACCAGTCATGTGACCACTAAACTCTAAATATTTCCTTGTGATGCCTATATTGTATATTATATGTTCTTTCTTATGTATTTGCCTGCCTAGGGACTACGAATGAAAACTAGCTTTGTGGCTATAATCCGGCATATTTACATTTGTTTTTATACTGATGTTCATCAATGTGCTTTGTCCCTATTCAAATAAATAAATAAATAAATAAAGTAAAGTTGCTTTTATAACAAGCCACTACTCACCCTGCCTGTTTGTTAAGCTTATCATGAGTTTAAAACCAGAACGCTGAATGGAAATATGGAAGAAATACCTCTGTAAAACCCAATAGAATTAATACAATTCTACAGACAAGAGACATTTCCACAGCTTCCACCTGCATTTAAGCCACTGACTACTCATATGTACTCCACATGGACGCTGTTAAATAAAGAAAACAAATAATGGCGTATTGTACTGAAGATAACCAAATGAAACTGGAGGAGAGAATAAAGACTAAGAGCTGAAAACAAGCATAGTAAGGCCAGCGGTCAGCAACAGCAGGCAGATGTTCCCCCTGTGTGTGTGTGTCTGCTCTCACCTATCCTCTGGCAAACAGCCCTGATAACAGTGATTACATGTACACACATAGACACACACACAGCCCTGCCTGCCACCTGCCTCCAGTCAAACACAGCTTCATCTTCTGAAAACAATGGATCACTGAACTGAGACACAAAAGGCCCACGGGGGCACACAAACACACTAACACAGAGAGGAGGGAAAAAAAAAACGAGATGGAGAGAAACATGAAGAGAAACAGAAAAAGGAGAAAGTGGTCAGATGCTTAGAGTAAGAGAACATGAGAACACACAAAAGACGGAGACAAAGAGTGAAATGTGTCTGTGTGTGTCCGGTGGGGTGGAGTGTGTGTGGTGTAAATAGCTCCATGTGGTGAGCGTCAGCCAGGACAGGCAGCCGACTGTCGCCAGCGTACCCTCCCTGTCACACACACCAAAATCACAGTCCCATGGGGAGGAATACTGCAATGAAAACCTACCTACCGTACACTAAAGATCTACCTCTTCCTAACACACACACACACACACAACTTACTCTGCTTTAATTAGAAACAAACTCTCCTTCAATAGATCACTATTTTTTTCATAAACCCCTTCACGTCACATAGTCAGATTTCATTGTGCATTTGATTCAAACATCACAAAGGGAGTTAAAGCACCTCTTCTCTGCATCTCCTGACCGTCACATTCAAATCAACACTCATCCCTAATTATTGTGTGGAGAACAGACGAGCTGAAAAAATTACAAATTACTTGACATAGGTCGGCAATTAAGCTGTAAAAATAAATTCAGCTATGGAAAAAGAGGGAGGAAACTCTGTGGCTGTTTTCCCAGAGAGTAAAAAATGTAGGGCTCAGTTATATCTACTGAGCTCCTAAAAGACTTAAGTTAATCAATCTTATAGTGTGAGGAGATTAAACTGAGTTATGAGGTACTTTGCTGTCATAAGAAGGGCTTTGAGCACCTTGTGACCATAGAAAATCTTTTAACATTTAATCAAATATAGCAGTCCTTTAAGCCGCAGATTTATTTTTAGAGAATTTCTCCTTGTAAGAATATACATTTTCCACAATGTTCTTTCTGGGTAGTGAAATGTATTTGTGGATGGATGCTTGTGTGCTGATGAAGGTTCTCAGTCATCCAGGTCATAGTCATTCCATAAAAATTCAAAAAATATCCACTGGACTTTGTTTCCAAGATTTGAAGACGTTTCGCCACCTCTCCAGGAAGCTTTCTCAATTCAAATGTCTGGATCCGCAGTGAGTTGTGGAAATTCTGTATGTGTGGTGATGGAAAATGGGACATCTTGTGTTCTAGGAAGGATATTCTAAATATCAAGAATTTTTTATAAAAAAAAAAAAAGATTTATATTTATGTAGTTCGAGGATCTTCCCTGGCTAAAAAGTGATAAAATGACTTGTGTTTCTTTTTCATTTTTTTTTTTTTTAAGATGGACCCAAGGTTAGCTTGTATCATCAGAGTGATTGAGCGTTTACACCTGTCCAAACCAAATGGACTCTCCAAGCAAACAAGCTGTTGTGTGGTTTAAGTGTGAAAGTGCTCTAAGATTACAAAACAGGAGAATGGCCCTTCCTAGGAGTTTTGTCCACACCAGATGAACTGGAACCAAAGAGAATACATCTTCTGTGTCATTATTTTCAAAAGCTCCTACTGTATAAAATCACGAGAGGAAGTAAGGTGATCTTTAGAAGGGTGAGATGCTTACTACAGATTTCTTTGTAAGGTAGTCTGTTCAAAGCAAAGTGTTTCAGAAGACTGTCCAGAAATTCACAAGAGGTATATGTTTAAAAAGGAAAAGGCTCCTATACCGTATTATATTGGGAGAAAATATATTAAAACTTATCGGTTGTAGATCAAAATACAATAGAAGAGAAAGACTGTTTCTTTACCTTTATAAGAAATAAATCTGCTACTGTAAGATCATTAACAAGCACATTTTAAAAGCTTCAGGATTTCTATAAAAAGTTACTTATCTTTTGAATTATTTAAGCTGGAATATCAAATTCTGATAAATGAAATCAGCAAAAAACAAAAACAAATACAACATACTTTGTTCAGTCGGAAAGGACCGTGCAACACATTGTAATCTATTTACTGTAACTATTTCTGCAGTGGTTTGGATGTAATGTTGTCATGTCAGGCTTTCAATTTGATTAATTTGATTTCTTTACTCTTATTTTCTAAATAAAGGCACCATATTTGCAAAGTCAGGTTTAGAGCTGTGCTGTGAAAAATAAAGAAACATTTAAGGTAAAAACAAACGGCTGTGGGAATTAAGTCAAGTCTTCTTTCCTTCCAAGCTGTGTGATAAAACACAAACAAGGACTAGCTCATATTTAGATGTTTGGCACCTTTGACCTCATTGGTTCAAGCCATTTGAACATGAGGTTTGGGAAGCCCTGGCTATGATCATTGGACACATTTACCTAATGAAAAAATACAAACCAAAGAGAAATTAAAACTACATTATTATAATACCCTTAGTAATGATATTATCAATCAAGAGGTTCTAAGTTTGAGCCCAATAGCCACAGACTGTGGCTCAGGGTCCCTGAGCAAGACCCTTAACCCCACACTGCTCCCCAGGCGCCCCACAATGGCAGCCCACTGCTCCCCCAAGGGAATGGGTTTAATGCAGAAATAGATTTCTCCAATGTGAGATCAATAAAGTTAAATTATTATCAAATGATCTGATGGTTTTAATAAAATTGCCATGTATTTTCTGCTTGTTTTTTGTAAAGTTGTTTAATCCCATTTTAGAAAAGTCAGAAGTTTATGAGCCTTTGTTTTTCCCCAAACCTTCTAATAATGGCAACATTTTCAAATTTGTGTTAACATCAAGATGGCTTTGTTTACAGTAAATCCAAACACACATTGTCTTTTTGGAAGCATGAAGCCCTAAAGGGTCTGTGACAACAAACATTAGGAAAAAAACAAAACAAGATTATATTATTTTTCAAATGATAATGAGTATGTGGCCAACCTCAATCTGCTGAAGCTCCAGGGGCGATCTCAGCCTCAGACACACGGCTTGGCTAAGGTAAGCATCTACGTCCTCTTCAGACAAACTTTGTACCTAACACATGCAGAATACATAAAAAATAAGAAACACACCACACACAGAGAGAGGAAAATATATGGTTTGCAAATTCAATCACAGCCAAGTGTGGGTGCGTTTGTTTGGTCTGCTCGCTGTGCAACAATTCAACAGAGAAAGAAACAATGCTGACAGCAGAAACAAAGCGGCCCGGTTGTGTGTGCAAAACAAACAAACCCCAAAGTTATTTAAATAGCGCAGTGAGAGGAGAATGTGAATGCAGCACAGATCAGACAACGGCCACTATTGTGTGGCAGGTCATCGGCTCATCTCTGATTATCTACTCGTCTAATGGTCTGTTTGACAAGCTGCTCTCATGTCTGTCTCTTGCTTCTTTATCCATTTGAATCAGTGGCTGCCAGTCACGTCTGTCTCATGGACTGAAATCAGTGTGTGTCTGGAAAACTGGAAGACAGTCTCTCAGCTGTCCATTTAACATGCCAGCTTCAAGTGATTGAGCGAACCATTATCAGACGAGTGAAGCAGATTAAAATTTATTTTAACTTGCTACAATGACAGCAATTAATTTTCTTAGGCATTGAATTAGGATCTTAAAAAATGAAACAGAAAGAAAATCACATTGTGCACCTTTTTAAGCTTCCTCATCATAATTTGCTTAAAACTGTAGTTTTATCACACCTAAAATGACCATTTATTTTACACTTGAAGTTAACCTCAATGAGCCAATACTTGATATTTGCATTTTGATAAGCATACCAACAAGAAAATCAGACTTAAATTTGTGATAAAAGCTCTAGATGGTTTGATTGACACGGAATACCTTAAATGAACCAAACATCAAATGGTACATATGTTAGTGAGTAGCTGTTTCCAAAACCTTGAGAATCAAATATAAAGGTATTGAAGATATATTTGTCTCCACCCTCCAGTCAACTCTATTAATGGCAGACTGTAAAGTAAAGAGGGCTGTGAGATAGGGGGGCTTGAAGAACTTGTGGACGCTAAGTGTTGAAACAATTTCAGGATAACTGAGAGAGCATTCATGCAATTCTCCCAGATGACAAAGAATGTCAGTTGACTATGTGGTATCTTGTAGCCAGTGGTGGAAAGTAACAAAGTACATTTACTTGATTACTGTAGTTAAGTACTCTTTCTTTAGTATATTTTCTTTATTTAAATCCTTATTTTGAGGGTGTACTTTTAACTTTCTACTCCACTAGTTCTAGGAAGCTGCTAGTTATTTGTTACTTTTGGTTCAGCTCAGCTTTTTATTTAACTGTTGCTGTTTTTCTTTCTTGAAATGAAATTTCAACATGGCAGATAGCAGCTCTTATGACTGACTTCTGACACAACTGTTTTGAAGATTGTATAATATGAGAAACTCAGTGCAGATATTATTTGTAGTTTATAGATTTTTTAAGGTGTGAGTTGTTCTGTGACCAAGTTGTTCAGTAAGAAGAGTTCTGAAATCAGAGTTGTGGTTTCTTTGTGATAACAGATTCAACCTTAAACCTCTATTCCATAGTAAAGTGTGAGGAGAATCAAGACTCTCTTGATTTATTTTTGAATAATAGATAAAGATGAAAATAGCTGTCCTTGTTTTTTTTTTGCCATTTTTATGCTAAAGTTCTTCCAGATGTTGCAGAATCTGTAGCAGAGCGGTTCTACACATCAATGCATGACGTGGTTTCTGAAAGTTACAAGGTCTGTTAAAATTACTCTGAAAATTATACAGAAATGTACTAATATACGAAAATGTAATCTGTAATTTTGAATACTTTGGTACTTTCAAAAGTGAATACTCCAATACTTTAAACTGAGTAAATGTTGACTGAGTAACTTTTACTTGTAGTAAGATTTGACTACAAGTATCAATACTTTTACTAGAGTACTACTTTTGAATACTTAATATACCACTGCTTGTAACTGGGGTGAAATTATTGAACTGTATGTAATTAACTTTATAATAAGTCCATATGATTGGACTGGATAGACTGTATCTTCTATCTACAAGTTAGATATCAATATTTTTAAAGTCATGTGAAACAACACTTGTAGGAAACTAAAGCATAAATTAAATAAAATGAGCTAAACTAAGCAGAAATGTGTGATAGCCAGCCCTGTTTTTTGTTTCAACCTGTAAAGTTTTTTTTGCTAGGATAGCCCTTTATTAGAACTCCCTGACCCTAATGAAGAAACTCATCCCGGTAGCATGATACTTCAACCACCAGGTTTTCCTGTGGACTCTGTCTTGAGAGTGATTTGCAGTGTTTGCATCAAGCAATGAAGCAGATACCCAGTTTAAAGCACAAGCATTAGACTGCTTCCAAGGATAGACCAGCACCCATCATTTATGGCTAAATGATGGGAGAAATCTAAGTGTCTGAGAATAAAGCCATGTTTCTCTAAAGATCCCCATATTTTAGGACTCTTTAGTATTAGGGTTAAAGGTTATGGTAATTTAAGTATGTATAACTATAAGTCAAAATTCAGTGTATTTAAATGATGAAAGAAGGAATCCATTAGAGGTTGTGCGAAATTATTCCCAAGTCTGGTGCTTCACTTAAGCCCTCAGAAGCTGTTTTAACTTGTAAAGAGGACAAACGTGTGTAATTTAAAACTTCATGTAACAAAGCTGGCAGCAAAGTAGCTAATTGCTTTCTAATTTTTGTTTTGTTTCTGTAAGGTGATGCATGCACGTTAATCCAAGTGGTTTGATGCTCTGATCTCCGTTTTCCTTCAGATAACAAGATGACGCTGTTGCAGAGTACAAAAAACACCAAGTCTGTCAACTTTTCGCATGCTTTGAATCTGTTTAAAACTTATTGATATTAAATATTTAAAGCCTTTTGAGACTTTTAAGTCCTGCGGTTGACGTAAGAGCGGAAATCATAAAGAACAGTGTCTGTGGCTTCACTCTGGACTCCGTGGGTGATGAAGGCTGTCCTCAGCCAACAGCAATACAACACAACCCACCATGTAAACATTTAATGTTTAATTTAACATCACATGCTGACAAAAGAACAGAATAATTGTTGTGTATGCCGCTGATGTCAATCCTAAATCCAGAGCTGACTTGTCTGTTTACATGTCACCAAATAAATTTGGTCTTTCATTTACTGTTTACATAAATCAGCAGGTGTAGCTTTACCACCCATTCATTACCAGCAGAATGTATTCATTGGAGGCTATGCCAAACATTGAGGCCTGACCATTAAGACCCACAACAGACGTATTAATCAAGATGGAGACGTCAGCACATAGAAATGAAGTTCAATCACCATGTTTTCATTTTTTATGTACGTAAACAAAACACAACCCAGGGCATATTAAAAGCTAAATATTTGAAAACATGTCAGATTTAAATGTGTTTATAGATCAGGTTGAAACTATAACTTTCAATGTATTTTATGGTGATTGATGTGGCAGAACAAAACAAGATGGCAATGATACATATTTTCTTGTTTTTTAACAAACAGAGCTGAAAAGCTCTTTGCAGTAATAACTTCATAAAAGTTTGTAGAAATTATTTTGATGCAATTCAATTCATTATATATATATATATATATGTATACATACATATGTATAGACACACAGCCATATAGCTGACTGAATCGAGTCACTGACTTTGGAGATTTTGATCCTCTTTAATGAGCAGTTACAAAATTGTTCAAACAGGTCTTGCTCAAAGTCCTGCAACTAAATGTCATCAATCAAAGTAAGGATAATGCCAAGTCAGTTGGATTTAAAATCAGACTTTGACTTGGCCATTTCAACTCATACTTTCATCTAGAACACCCTTTGGTTGTATGTTTAGGGTTGCTCTTCTGAAGGACGCTCGACTCTTATCTTATCCTAGACTATTTCTCCATCCCAGCTTAAAGAAAATCATCCTCACAGCATAATGCCACTAGCCTGGGTGCCATTCCGAACTTAGTCCCGCCCACAACGTTTGAGGTCGGGAAGTTCCGTCTGGCATTGCTTAATAGTAGCGCGAGTATGCTCGCACAATATCTGGCAGGCCAATCAAATTGTCAGGGCGGGCTTTATATGATGATGGACAGATGATCAACAGTAACGTTATCAACCATGTCACCAAAGCGCGGTTGGGTGACAACAACAATGGCTGCCGCTGGAGAGTTGAGGTGTGTAGATTCTGCTATTAGGTCTGTTCTAAAAGATATCGACAGCAAATTAATTTTAAAAGAGGAACAGAGAAACGCGATCAAGGCTCATCTTCTTATTCTAGGCGTGCAACTGCACGCTTTGATTTTTGTTGACATCAACTATGCGTCGCTTAACATACGTCACGCACTCCGTTGCTCTTATTGGTTGTAGGTCTATCCAATTCAGTGCAGAGGCATTATTTTTCCTGGTTCGTTCGAAACACGCCCCATAATCACTGGAGCAGTATCAGACTCATATTGTGACTAGAATTGAGTAGGACTACGTCAGGCTATAATGCCAATGCCACCATATTTCATTATGGGGTGGTGTTTTCTGGGGTAAAAGAGCAGTGATTGCCTTCCACAATACAAACAGTATGCATCAAGGGTTATATCAGACTGGAACCGTATTTGCCACAAGTTTCACAAGCTTCTAGGCCAGGCTTTTAGCTATCAATGCGTAAAGGTGTACACTCTATGTTCTTTACTTAAAATATTAGAAATTGTACACCCTGTTTTTAGGATGTATGTCTTCGGTACGCCCTAATTTTCTTGCTGAATATGGTGGAATATCTAATGTCCCTACGGGCAACTTCATTCGCGGGAACAAGCATGCTGTGCTTTTTGCAAGCAGGTAAGCTTGAAACTGAAAAGTTTATGAAAACTTATCAATACCTGAAAACTATAGAATTATTTTGGATGTTTTTTTTTTTTTTTTGTTGTTGTTCTTTAGGACATATTGTCTGTGGAATGGGGAAAAATAACAACTAACATAAATGCTAACTGGAGAGGGGGCGTGATTGGCACCAAATCTGCAGCAAATGTCAAACTGATGCCGCAATTTTTTCATGGTTCTTTGAGATAATTGGAGACTTTATTTATAAAAGATTGATAAATTGATGTAGTTTGTGGATAACAGTGTGCTAGTAGCATAACTGCCCTTTGGAGCAAAACACCTGCTTGTGTAACACATCAGCTTATGTTTACAAAATGTATGAAGTTACATGAAAAAGTCTCAATCAACTTTCAGAATTAGTTTCAGTGTCAGGTGTATTCTTAAGAGAGTAGATACACAGAAATAAAAGATGTTCTGTCTGCACATTCTCCTCTGTTGGTTTGCAGATTGTGTTAAAGTATTTGTAGACTGTTTTTCAGTTTGTTCAACTCGTAAATGTAACAATCAAGTTTCACCTTTAGCAGTAAGTTTAAGTTACATTTTCTTATTATTTGAATTAACATATGTAACTTAATATTGTACATAAAACTTATCTCATGTCTTCCTTAATAATTTTCTACCTCTAGTCAAGCACACATACTCCCCATAATCAGGACGACAGAAGTGTTGTAACAAAGACAAAAAGTTAGCTGCATTCCACCTCAAAATGCAGGAAATAGCGTTTCAGAGTATAAACTTCAAGATTTTCCTTTTCCTGCTAATTATGCCTTATTATACATCTTATAAAATCTGAAAAAAGTAGAAAAAAAGTGAAAAAGCTCAAAGGGTTAGAATGCATTTGGCCAGCATTGCAATGAAGGCACATTTTCATTCTTTTAGGGTCGAAGTATATGTGAAATGTTTCAGAAAACCTGCAAAAGAGTCTACCTGAAGCACTATGTATGTGACAAGACAGAGGGCCGCCAGTAGAGAGTCTCCAATCTTTCCATGTAAGTCAGAATAGTCAAGGCAGTCAAAAACTGTAAGGAAGGCCGCAAGTCGAAGAGCAGAAACCTCATGACCAGTGCTAAACCATAACAGGTCCAGATTGGGTTGAGCACCTACAAATCAAGACATAAGGAAAGATAATATGCAATGGATGAAAAGCAGCATATAAAAGATAATAGATGTTTAATCGTTATGGCAGTTTTCAAGCAGTATCTTAGCAGAAGCTTTGCAGTACTTGGGATGTTAACTGGGACAGGCTGGACCATGTCGGCTTCTTTTAAAGTGTTTCCAGGGAAGACAAACCATTCCTTGATAGCTGGAACATCCACAGAGCTGTCTGAGAAAACACAGAAAATTACATGTTTAACCTAAATTTACTGTTTGTAGACATGGAACCATTCTTCACAAGACACAGCTTAAATGGTATCAGTGTCCTCTTCTTTGCTTTCCTACCATCCTTTCCAAGGAGCAAGAGTAAACCATAGACGCGCTGTCTGCACAGCTTGTAGACAAGGGCCTGAGGCAGCAATTCCTGGTCCTCCTCATCCTCTAGAGAATTGCTGCATTCTGTGACTCCAGCACACATAACACTGTAAACCATGAAACCCTCCACCGCTACATGTTTCTCTCTACATGCCTGCGGAAAACCACACAGCAAAAATATTTAGCTCTTTTGGTATTTGGTATGTTTCAGGCAGCACAGAGATTTAAAGCTAAAATGCACATTATGAATAATAACATACCTTTAAAATCTCAGGAGTGACGTGTTTCTCGAAGGCAAGCGGTGGGGCACAAATGCCAACTAGTCCATAGTGTTTTTGTCCAGGTAGTAAGTAGGAGCAGACTCCCTTCTTTAGCATCTCTCTTTGAGGAACTGACACATTCAGAGAATATGGGACAGGTCCAGTTTCCTCCTCTTCAGAAGCATACAAAGACCTTACAAATTGGGCTACTGCCAGTACTACCTGACCATGAGGAGGACCGGAATATGGTTCAGGATTGCTTCTCCTATAAACGACAAAGATCTTACATCATTTTTAAGCATCCTAAACAAACACATGTTTATCATATTTCAGGGAGACTCAACTAAAATGGTTTAAGAAGATTCCAAATAAATGCACAGCTTTCTACATTTGTTGGTATTTAATGTTTATTTGTCTCTTTCCTGTTTATTCATCCCCGAGCAAACGAGGAAAAGGGCTCTTCTTGGAAAAACACAGTTTCAGCTTGAGGGACTCTTTACTCTCCACAAAGCTGGAGGAAATTCTTCAAATTCAATGACTTGATGCGTTTGGTGACTTCCCTGCTGAATCTGAATCTGTATTGGAACTGAATGTATTGAACAAATTAATTTAGATTAAAAAATATAAAATGGATGCAGAAATTAGATCAGAAATGAATTGGTACTACTTAATTGGCAATACTTATATTGGGTGAAGTTAATTAACTTTGGTTGACTTGAATCAATGAAATTGAAGGGATTCTATTTAGGCTGAAATAAAAGTATTACTTCAAGTTGATGCATTTGGTAGCACTGCTGCCTTGTAGGAAGATGGTTCTGGTTTTAAAATACTGGACTGGGGTCTTTCTCAGTGGAGTTTCTTGTGGTGCAGACGTGGTTTTGCTCCGGGTGCTCTGGGTTTATCCCACAGTTAAAAAAACATGAGCTTTCAGGTTTTTTGTTTGCTATGTTTGTCCTGTATGTCTCTTGTTGCACTGAATTAAATGATTGATTCTGATTAAATAAACAACTTCCGTATCCATCAGTTCTTGCATTGTGATGTGTTATTCATACCTATATGCTGCTGCAGCATTGTTTCTGATATGCTGCATCTGCTCCTCTGGAACCACGTCGTTACCCAGCAGACAGGCCAGCAGAGGCAGCTGGGTAACTGTTAGTCCAATGTTTCTGCAGAGCCTCTGCCGGTCATACATGACGGTTGTTAAGCTGTTTATTTGCAGCTTTGCTACCGACAAGTAGGGGGCACTTAAGAGATGAGATAAAACTACATGTTCAGATCAGTTTGTCCACATTTTTCATCACTTATTATAATCTTAATGTAAGCTCAACATGTACTCCAAGACAGTTATTTGGTTTATACCTGCCATTTTGCAGCCATTACAAAGCACTTTTAAAATCCATCTACACCACGTAATGATTTCTTTTACAAACCTGTCATATATGATGAAGTCTGAGTCCTGTCCCAGAATGGCCATGCTGCCATGTGTACGAGCATAGCTGGCAATTTCGTAGTCGGCCTCTCTCACTGAGCAGAACACTTCCTGACCCAGTGATCTACAGACAAAACCAGATCAAATCAAACATTATCCAACAAAACTTTGTCTGCAGTCAGTAAGAACTTGATTAAAAAACATATATTTTCTACATCAGGGATAATGCAATCATCGTCACCTACCTGAGGGCATAAGGGGTAAATGTTGCCAGAGCAGATGGCAGACAAGACAGTTGCTTATCAGGCTGTTTTCCATGTTCCTTAATGTGGTTGAATATTTTCACAATATCCCTGCTCACCCTGTGTCGCCTCTTTACCTGTGGTAAAATAGCTCTAAATGTTTCACTGTAAGTGAAGCAGGACATATTTTCTTTGCTGAAAAAAAAACTGCAAAATGAAGGAGCCTAATCTGTGGGTCTCCTCACCCATTCTGGTCTTTTCTGCTCCTCAACAACTCCATCAAAGAAAAAGACCAACTTGATGCCTGCAGAGGTAAAAGCTTCCACCCAGTTCTTCAGGATACCCGTATACTCCATCCACTGGCCTCCACACACCCAGTTCCTACACGAGTACCAGTGTTGAAGGCAGGACATACCATCTACTACAAGTGTAGGACCTGAAGCAACAGTTAAATAGACAAATGTTAGAAAATAATAATTGGAAAACCAAATTTTAGGTGTGTATGATTACAATTAAAAAAATGAATCAATACTAAGTGTTGAAATTATGATAAGTTAATAGATGCATATTATAATATCACTCAATTGAGCCCAACTATATAAACAACTGGATGGTTTAATAGAAAACCTAAAGCACAGGGTTTATGCAAGTCAAACATCACAATAGTTTCAATAAACATGATGAAAAAACACTGAATTCTAAACACCTATATAGAAATGAAAATAAAATTAAATTAACAATCAAAATAAAAAACTATTTTGTCTCATAAAAATAGTTTTTGGTTTATCAGAAAATACAATTATAAAAAGCTTTCTTTACCAAGCCTATATCTTTTCAGGTCAATATTTTTGTGTCAGTACTCAAAGTTCCAATATCAGTATTGTATCAAAAATTAAAGTTGTATTGTGAACCTCCTAGTAACGGGCTACACTCCCCTTAGTTTCACATTAAAAGCTATGGGAATGTGTTGTTTTTATGTACAGAGAAAGAGAGAGTGCTGGGATCACTTCACTAAAATATTATAACTGTGGTAAGACTTTTTTCTTTTCTTATTTGACAGGTACAGTGTACATTAATTGGCATTGCTGCAAATATAACAGCATTAGCCAAGAGGATACTTCTTATCTGTTGTCCCCGTCTACCTAAAAACACAACAGCAAGAATTTTAGGTTAATAAAAATAAAATAAAACATTAAAATAAACAGATGCATTTTGAAAAAAGTCTATGTGGTGAGTCCTCTGATGTTCCGAGAGACAGAGTTCCATTCCTGAGACTCTTTGACTAAAAGCACTTTTTACGCAGAGGAACAACACAGTCTCCTCTGGCCGACCCTCGTCACTCTCTGTGTTCCTGATCTTTACAAACTGACTACGTGGAGAAGATAACAGACCAGGGATGATTTTGCAAAACAGACAGAGATTTAAATACTTGATGACATTTTCCCAACTTAAAAGCTTATGCTTTAGTAAACTGGCAAAATGGTAATATTGTGGTGTTTGTTTATCCAGAGTTTTGATTGCCTGATTGTAAATGGACTTAACTATTCATTGTTGTTTTATCTGCCCGTGACCAAGTTGTAAGACAGTAGGCAATGTAGGACCGAACCATACTGTACATGAATACTTTAGTTGCCTAAAGTGACAAGTATGATCTTATGAAATTTGGAATATCATATTTGACTGTATTGCACAGCTCCTTTATCTTTGATTTAAAGGTCAGTTTAGGGTCTGCATGCATAGGTATTTGAATTCTGACACAACTTTTATTTTTTTCCCTGCCACATAAATATCTTCCTCATGATTAGCACTGTTCGGTTTAGAAAAGTACATTAAAACTGTTTGATGTTTTAAGCAGGATTGATTCAGCCATTCAGATACATGAACCATATACCTTGTAAGATTTTCAGCAACTTGTTTTGTGTTTTCACCATGGGTATAAATTGCTGTATTGTCTGCATACATCTGGATACAGACATCTGAACAAACTGAGGGGAGGTCATTTATATAGAGAGAAAATAGCAGAGGCCCCAAGATAGAACCTTGAGGTTCCCCTGTGGACATGGCGAGAGGCGGCGACAATCACTAATCCTGACTGCATGTGTGAGCGATTCGACAGATATGATTCTACCCATTTTATTGTATATGAGGAAAAGTTTAATCTCCTTTGTTTGGTTAATAATATTTTATGGTTAACAGTGTCAAATGCTTTTTTTAGATCGAAAAACAAAGTTCCAACCACGCCACCTTTATCCAGTGAACATTTGATATTTTCTATGAAAAATAAATGAGGCGTTTCTGTCGAGTGTTTAGTTCTGAAACCAAATTGCTTTGAATGAAAGGAAAATGTAGTTGTATTTAAATGTGTTATTATTTGTTGAGCAATCGGTTTCTCTGCAATGTTTGGCTCTGTAGGTAAGATGCTGATTGTTGTGTAATTGTCCACTGACAGTGGATCTCCATTTTTAAAAATTGGAACAACAGCAGCCGACTTCCACACACTTGGAAATACTGCCTCAATAATGGAGAGAAGGAAGATTCTGGTTACAGGTGTTAATAATGTAGAACTGGATTCTTATAGCATGCACATATTAATGCCAAATATGTCTCTAGTTCTAGAAGCTTTAAGTTTCCTTATTGTTTGTAAAACTTCAGTCATTAACTTAAAATGTCAAAGCTTGATAGCAAAAAAAAATCTTTTTTATATATCTTGTTACTTGTACCTTTTACTACTACCAAAAAAGAACATTTGTACCGACTTCCTTCCGGCATGAACAGCAGTGGGATATATGGCAAAGGTTAGACGTGTACATCGACATATACATGACTATAATCTTATAATTCCTTTATTTTCTGCTGGGTTTTAAAATATTATCACCAGTCAGAATATCTGAACAACACAAGCCATATGATTTCACTGTAACACTGTAACTTATGTTTTTTTTTTTTTTTTGGTTTGCAGTCATTTCAACATAGCAGAATTTCAGCACAATATTTGTTGTAACTGTATTGTTCTGACAAATAAAGTCAGCGAGCAGGAAACTTTTCGCAGACATTAGGCAATAAACGAGAAATCTCACTAGGATTTGCAGTGCATGCAAATGATAAACTAAAAAAAAAGAAGGCAAAAAAATAAAAACTATCCACCTTAACAGTATTTAAAGCTCATGTCTTCAAAAAAAAAAAAAAGAAAGAAAGAAAGAAAGAAATTCATGCATAGCCCTTTACTAGAGAGATGCATTATCCCATTGCTAAACACACTGTTTACATCAGTAAGAAGAAGATCCCACTTTGGAATAATTTTACCATCACAGACAACACAGAGAAACTCAGCTGTTGTTGGTGGACGTACAGCTCTGCTGGTTTGTAGCGATATGCTGTCTGGCCATCTCTCGCAGGTTCACAGTGACACAGGCCTCTGGAAAGCATCGCTCCACAAAGCTCTGCAGACCTTTTACACCCATCCCCGCAGGGCACAGAGGCAAATCTAAAGTAAACACATTTCAACATGTTATGGATTTTATAGTAACGGAATTAATGTTTTTACTGTTATGCTTTTCATGCATATCACTGCTGCTTTGTGACTTAAATGCTCAGAAGAGCACACAATAAATATGGGGTAAGGCTAACTTCATATTTACTTTGTCATGTTAGGGAAAGCAAATTCACGCATGATCATGTGAGACATGTACCCGATATCAAAATGTTAAAAGCCGCACGTACACTTACAATATTTAAGAGAAACCCTGAAACCCTTAAGACGCTTCCTTCATGCAGTGTTTACATCCCGAAAATTCACAACTCTTCCGGTTGCGTTTGTGTGACGTCATTACGTTCGAGGATAACGCGCAACAGGAATCAGACGTTTTGTATTAAAAACTATGATTTTTTTTTCACATTTTGATTTATGTATTCATTTTTGTTCACAGAATATATTATGCAAATGTAAATATATATATATATTTATACATACTTTCATGATACATCAAGAATGTATCATAAAATTATCATTTTCAGCACAGTTTCTTAAGTCTGATATACAACATAAATGCACAGAATGATTAAAAGATTATTTGATTTGTCAGAAATGAAGGTGGTCATTAAAGTATTTTTTTTATTATTTCTTTATACTTTGGGGGGGTATACAAAAATCTATTTCTTCATCCTACAGGAATTCTAGGTAGAATGTGTGTTTTAAAATACTTTAAAACTAAACTATCAATTCCTTTGCAATTAATTAACAGCATCAAAACATATTCAGCTGAGAGAAATCAAACATCTTTGTGAAAAAAGTTTGTCAAACCATTAAAAACAGATGTGAGTGTAGGATATATTGCTGAGATTGCCAGTGCTCTGGTAGTGCTGTAATTACAAATACACTTTCTAAAAGTGTCATGAATAAGAATGAACCATTGTATTTTTGTGGGCTCAGTCAGTTCTCATAATACCTCTCCAGGCAAGAGTAAGTAAGGGTCTAATTGCACTCAAAAAGAAAAGGAAAAAAGGTGGGGGGTGCGTGGAGGGGGGCGTCCCCTACTTTGGAGTCACAAGCTATTAGGTCTACCTTCTCAACACAAAGCAACTCCATCCCATCCATTCTATTGTCTGCACTGAGTAATAATAAGGAAGGGAACATATGCTGGCAGTCAGTCCAGCTGTCAGCATCTGTTGTTTCTCAGCCAGATGCTCTGTGGAGTGAGTGGACAATTCTCCCAAACAACCAGTATTCTTCTCAAACAGCTTATCTAAGAAAGGAGGAGCTCTATTGTAAATTTTTTTTTGCAAAAAAATAAATGGAGCCACAAAACTCCTCCTTTGAGTTTCAAAATAATTCCTGATTTCAAGGTTTTGACATTATTAAATCTAAATGTGTAACTTTTCTAAAAGCCTTATTTTTTATTGTATTAAGATAACCTTAAAGAGCAGGTGCAATTGTTAGTTTTTTTTTAAGTAAACCAGACAGAAATATCTATTAATCTACAATATGGGGGCCATTTTTATTTAACTGTGGAACATTAGCTTTTCACGTCATTAATGTCTAATTTATCAAGCTTAAATTGTGTTAATGGTGAATCAACCAGAACTCTTTATAAAAAAGCCCTTCTTGGAAATATTTGTCTAAACATGCTCAAGAAGTGGACACCTGCTTTTGCACACATCTGCATGCATACATTTATACACCACACCCCCACAAATGTTACAGAGTGACCAGTCCAGCAGGGCTTAAACTCCATAATCCTGCATCTCATTCTCATTTCTCATAGTTTGAGTTTGCTGCCTATTCAGGTTAATTCTTTTCAGCTTCCTCCTCCTGCTAAACTTGCTCCTCTTTCTCTTCTTCGATGGCATCCCCTTTGATTCAGCCCCCCTCCTCTCCTGTCCTGAGCAAAGCTGGACTCGAGAGCAACAGAGGCAGATGTTCCAGGAGCACACGACTGCCCTCAGCCCACTCCAAGCCCTCACCCACCCCCAGCACCTCCCATTTGTACTGGATCAGCAGTTAACCCCCGGAAAGAATTGGCCATACAAACACACACACACTCATACAAAGAACACTGCTGCCCAAATCTGTAAGAGCTCAACAGTTGTCCGATTGAATAAGAAACACACAGAGACACGCAGCCACACACACAAGGCGCTGTCCAGATCCCCTTAGGTTTCCTGATAGCAGAAACCCTGGGGGTCTGGTGTCAGCGTCCAGGGTCCAGCGTCTCTGTGGGCAGCTGGCCTGGCTAATCCAGCTGCTGGAGGCCACTCCCTCTGAAACCAAAGGCCAAGGACTCCTGGAGAGTGACGGGTCAGAGATCTTCAGGAGCAACTCTTGTGTGATTTGTTCAAAATCCAGGGGATAGGGATTTGTCTGTTTATTGTAATTTTATATCAGATTTTAAAAGTCACAGAGCCTCTGATCAAGCAGATCTTTAACTGTTAAAACAGTTCAAGTAAAAAGTGTAATGATTACAGGACCGACTATATAAATGAGTGAATGCAAAAGCAAATTTTAAGTTCAATAATGGGATGAAAGCATGCTACATTAATCAATACACTGAGGTTGTTTACTACTATCAGAATGTGACTAATGAACTGTTCAAAAATACATTTTTCATCAGCTTCTGTTAAAAAAAAGTACCTGCAGCTAAAATCTAAATCTATCCACCATTGCTTTTCTTCATTTCACTGCTGGTGATCAGTTCATTCACACACTGAGTTTTGGAAGCACTGGAACAACCTAAGGAAAAACAACAACATAGAACTAAAGATGATGTGCTCGAAGGGTTAAATGCCAGGCAAGGACTAAAATGTCAAAAAGTATTTATACATCTCCAAAAATGTGTAATGATATTGTGATATTTTGCATTAAGTAAATGATGTGCAAAAAAAATGATGATAGCTCTGAGGAATCATCTTTAAATCTGAAACTGATATTAGACGTCATATTCTCATTCTAGTGGTAACAAGTGGTTTGAATTGGACTAAGGTGGCCTTTTTTAACTATCTGTCCATCTGTCTGTTTGTCTATCATAGAAATCAGGTGCTATGTGGAACAGTGTTCATCGGTGTGTAGTTGGTGTGATGGTGATAATGTGGAGGTTCCCACGATGGCCATCCATCCATTTCTTGGCATGCACACACACATTTTCAGGCCATATGGCCACCTCATAGCCCTTGCATGCCACCACTGTGATTTGGCTCTGAAGGAAAACAGTTCCCCCAGTAACTCTTGGCTTCTTCTTTTGGAAATTGCATTTGGAAATAAAAGAGGCCACACAGAGATGAAGAAACAGAATGATGAGTAGGAGAAATAAAGATTAGGTTATGAGGAAAGCGGTGGAGATAAATGGTGATGAGAGAAGGTGGCTGCTTGGTCGGTGTTGTGGTGTTTGTGAGCAGATGGTCGGGGCTCGAGAAGGGGCGTGTCCTGTCCTCGCGACCCTTCACAAATCACAAGTTCTCCCCTGAGGGGCTCGCGACTCGCCGTTCAATAGAAATCAATGGGAATTACTTCACCAGAGAAAGAGATGAATGAGCGGCGGGGCGCGAGACCTTTTCCTTTGTTGTTCCCGCTGCGCGCGTGCATGCACGCACAAACACGCGCTTACAAGCGGCTATTCTCTTTCACACACGCGCGCATGCAGATAGACAACAGGAAAGCACTTTAATTAAACAATCAGACCTCCACTTAAACAATTTACTAGCCCCCCACCCCCAACCACTCACGCGCGTCCACGCTGCTACAGGCACGCACACTGTAGAATAGGGGTCCGAGGGGAGGAGTTCATGTTGTTTCCTTAAGACACACAATCTCCTGACATAAATGATGTCTTAGAAAAAAGTGTGGTACTGATGTTTTTGAGCTGAGGGGGGCTCATCTCACATGCCCTTCAGTCACGCTTTGCTTCTGAAATCGGGAAATGTGTGTCACGTCATGGTGATGAGTGACTGATGGTAGATATTGGCCTAACAGAGAGGGCACTGAAGAACTCGGAGAGTCGGGAGGAGTTTAAATAAAAGGCTTCAAGACATGGATTTTACGCCATTCCAATGGTTCAATGATGACTGTTGACAGTGGGAGCTGAAATCAACTGGTAAAGTCAAATGAACAGCGTCCTACTGCTCAATGGGCTATATGTGGAAAGATTGATGCAGGCAAGGATCATAGTGTTAATGCTTAAGGTTAAAGGTCATTCCAGCATCTCCACAGATACTAAGCAATATTGGATATTCACAGTCAGGTCATCAAGCCTATGTTCAACAACAGGGCTACAGCTCCCTCAAAGAAATGCATCACTGCCCTTTATGATTTTGGTCAAGAGACTCTCCCTAAACATGAGCCACTCTGAACATAGTGGTGCCATTATTATTCCTTCCTTCCTTCCTTCCTTCCTTTCTTTCTTTCTTTCTTTCTTTCTTTCTTTCTTTCTTTCTTTCTTTCTTTCTTTCTTGCACACAGCAGAGCATCAGTATTTTATGTGCACCAAGGCTTAAAGGTGATGTTGCTTTAAGTTTGTGAATGAAGTCCTTGTTTATAGACCAAAACACTGGTGCTATGCAGAGCAGCTCCAACTATGTTAATTAAGCATCCCTCCCCTAGTTCTCCCCCTCCTCGCAGAACCTGTGTACTTTAGTAGACATAAGAAGTTGCATAGTAATCTGACGCAGTGCACTTGTTCCATAGTGGGCTCTGCTGCTGTGCCAACACAGTGATAAATAAATAATTCAGAAGGGAGGCCCTCACTTTCTGGATCTCTGATACATGGCCTTAAGCCTGAGGTGATTGACAGGTGTGGCTCCAAACACCAATTAACTGTTCTGGCCAATCAACGGCTCTCTATAAAGCCTTTCATTTACTTTTTTGTGAACATAGCCCATATATTCACAGATAACACAGCGCGTGTGGCTGTCTAATATCTCACTAATAAATGAAATAAAAGTGCCTTAAGATATATTTCTTAAATGCCCCACTTAAAATATTCTACAGCAGAAAAATAACAGCATGCTGATAGATTAACTTAAAGTTTGATCAAAAGTCCATTAACATCTAAAGCCGCTTTAGGGCAAGAGGCCAGCTCATAATAACTTGATGGCAACAAGTGTGCATTCTTCCTTGGATTTTTCATCGGGTTAAAAAAAAAAAAGAAAAAACATATGCAAATGGGCTTGTGAGTCCATGTGAACTGATGTCATCCGACCCTGTTACAAACAGAACTTCAAGTCATTTTTTTCTCTGCAGAACATAAGATTGTACCAGTCTTTTAAGTACCGTTCGTGTCTTTAGGTAATCAATTACTTCATACTTAAATACAACTTTAGATTCTTATTTTTAAAACTGGCCATGCATTCTATGTGTCTATGTGTGCATATGTGTGAGTCTCTGGTGTTGCATTATTGTGGGAGAGCAGGTGCTGCCGGCCCAATTAACATACAGCTGAAAGCACAAAGAGAAAAAAGTTTACTCCCTCTGTGGGTCCCCTCCTTCTCATCCTCCCCCCGCCTTCTCCTCACAAAGTCCCTTAATGACAGCCACGCGAGTGACACACCACCAAGTATTTTTTTTTCTTTTTTTGTCCCAATATACCAAAAGGAATGTAGAGGAAATGTAGACGTGAAGAGAAATAAATGTTTGAGGTACGCTGCTCTGTAGCCCCTATTGCGTATTTTGATGCGTTTTACGCACAGAAGTGAGGTTTTTGTTTGGAGACATATTGCTCTTCAAGCTGTTACGTAAACATACTGGATCACAAATACAAATTTAATGTGTGTTGAAACCCCATTTCTATTTTGGATACATAATCAAATCAAATAGTTAATCTGCCAGTAAGATATGGTGTTAATTCAACGATTATCGTTGCGCACTTTAAATCTTATTGGATGGGAAATAAGGAGGACAGAGTATTATTATAGGTTTGGATGGGAACATGTAAAAACACAGGGTAACACCATAGGAATGTGATGAAGCAGATGGTTCTAGCGGATCGCCGAGTGGCTGGCTGGCCGCGCAATCCTGCATTAGGTCAGCCAAGACTTTACCATAAAATGCTCAAATATTAATAGCCACAATCCGCATGCTGCGCATATAAATCTCCTGTTGAGGATTCCGTGCGAATGTTGAATAATTTTCTGTGAATGTAAATAGGCCCCGTGCGCTGTAGAGGAGGGGATCATCAAGGGAAGAGAAGGTTGTACATTTAACAGCTCAGTAGCCATTTGGTCTGTCCCCTTGAGAAGAAGAGATGGGGGGAATGTGATTTCTTTTTTTTTTTTTTCTTTTTTTTTTGGAGGGGGGACTCCCACCCTCCTCCTCTGTCTTTGTAATGGCCCGGGGCGGACTTGTGGTGGTGGTGGAAGGAGGGGAGAAGTGAGGCAGAGGGCCTCATTTGCATCTCATTACCCTTTGCTTGCTGGCCCCGGTATAAAACCCAGCGCAGGCAGAAAACCCATCAGACTTACGCACTGATACATGTAATCAAAGGAAAGCAGAGGCTGGTTTTCGGTCAGGATGTATTAATTTTAGCATGTCACAAGAACATTTCTGGAGCAAATAAAGAAGAATATACTTTCAGCGAAAACTCATTGGAATTAACCACGATATCTGGATTTCTTAAAGGGGACTTTTTCCACTGGATCTTACTTGAATCGGTGAAATTGGTTTCGAAAACAATCTAAAAGTTTTTGGGAGCGGTGAGCAGATGGACAGGTGACTGACGCGCCGCAGGGAAAGTGTTTCCATACATTCGGCTCTGTGCGTAATAGGTTCGCCTTGACTGAACCACAGTGGACAGCTTTGAAAACTTTCTCCATGAGTGTTTGAGTGGTGCTACTGGGAACCGCGGAGCTTTCACTGCTTGTCCAGGGGGCTGTCATCACAATGGGACGCCTGTGTCTGCTCCTGATTGTCAGTCTGAGCTTACTCTCCTGCCAGGTATGGTCCAACATTGAGCGCTCTTTGCGCTCTTAGTTGTAAAATCGTATCCAAAAAGTTTTAGTCTGTTAAGATACTTAAAATACTGTTTGTGTTTTAGGTTTTATGCTCCGGAGTGTTCGAGCTCAAGCTGCAGGAGTTTCTCAACAAAAAGGGAATAGCTGGGAACGTGAACTGTTGCTCAGGAGGCGCCGCGCACCCGCAGGGCCACCAGCAGTGCGAATGCAAGACCTTCTTTCGGGTCTGCCTTAAACACTACCAGGCCAGCGTCTCCCCTGAGCCCCCCTGCACCTACGGAGGCGCGGTGACTCCCGTGCTTGGCTCCAACTCCTTCCAGGTGCCGGAGACGAACGCAGACAGCTTCACCAATCCGATCCGCTTTTCCTTCGGCTTCACTTGGCCAGTGAGTAACTGTACATTTGTCCTGAAACATATTTTAATCTCTCGCCAAACATAAAATAATGTATGTCATTGATGAAGGAATTTAAATTTGGGGAACTCTATTTTAAGCATTAAAAAAACCTAACAGATGCTTCTGGACTAAACTCTTGTGATGGTCTTTGTCAGCAGTGTGTGAGGGGAGCCATTGTAGTAATTTCTCTGCTCTTTGGTGAGATAAAACAGGGAGGGGATGTGGGTGAAAGAGAGAGGGAGGAGGGGTTGTGTCACCAAAAAGATTTTTCCCTCAGACCAGTCATAGTGGGAAATCTAACATCCTCTGCGTTGGCACATCATTGGCACCCCAGCGTGAAATTCCACTTCATTTTAGTTTTATGGCGATAGGAGTGTGATGTTGGTAGGGGTGTTAAAAAAGGAGCAGGTAGCCCAGCCATATTAGACCACTAATCAACAGGAGAATTAGACTGAAGTTTATTGTGAGGCCTCCTAATAACCCTCTGCTGCTCTGGAGGGGAGGTGAGGTGGGGGGTGTTTGCCTCTAGCAGAGCAGCTGTTGAACCTCTCTCTGTCTTTCCTCAGGGGACGTTTTCACTGATCATTGAAGCTCTGCACACTGACTCCCTGGACGACCTGACAACAGGTGGGTGACAGCAAGAGAAGACAGACATGGGGTCAAATTATTGCCTTATTTTCATCAGTAGGGATCCGGAAATAAGCTGAAATCTCAGCACTATAAACAGTGTACATTTCTTGACATAACAACTCTCATATTTTGAGATGAAAATAGTCAATAATTTTTATTTTTGACCTTAGATATTTCTAAAATCGGCCCATCATTAGGATGTACTGTCATTGTGTTGTCTCTCCATCACTTAGTGCTAAAATTAGAGCAGGCCATCGTCAGTAACAACTGAAGTTGCAGTGGATGAAAGAGTTGTCATATCCATAATATAAGAAACAACAATACAGGCTTTGTTTTTTAGCCAGACAACAAATTAACTTGTGTAAACACCTTTTACAGAAAACCCGGAGCGATTGATCAGCAGGTTCACCACTCAGCGACACCTTACCGTGGGGGAGGAATGGTCCAAGGACATGCAGACGGCCAGTAGGACGGAGCTGCGCTTCTCCTACCGTTTTCTATGCGACGAGCACTACTACGGTGATGGCTGCTCAGTGTTCTGCAGGCCCCGGGATGATGCCTTTGGACATTTTACCTGTGGCGAGCGTGGTGAAATCATATGCAATTCCGGCTGGAAAGGCCAATACTGCACTGAACGTGAGTGGGATTTCTCAGCAATTGAATTGTGTCATTGTTCCTCAGTAGGGCAGCTTATTGAATGTGAACGTGAGATGTGAGATAGAAATACCTAAGGCTGATCAATGATCCATATTTTTTTGGATCTGGTGACGTATTAGTTAAGGAATCTGATGTGCTCATCAAGCTCACTCTTGGTATTATTGATCACCCCAAAAACAGATTCTTACATTCGTAAGGCAGTCACAAATAAACTGGTATTTCAAGGATTTGCTGGTTTCTGCACAGTTTACACATCTGTTTTCCAATCTTAAATAAATCCCCCAACAGTCATTTGCCTCCCTTTATTGTTGGAGACTTTTTCCACCTCATAATGCAGAGCCCGTGTGCAACAGGCGTCAGTTAGTTATCCCATTGCACCAGAGGCCTCCGTTCTAATGAGCCGCGGTGGCTCCTCAGTAATTCACACGCCGCGTGCCTTCCATTAGACCACTGGGGCCTCCTCGCCCCCAAACCTCCTCGCCGATTGGCCAAGTAGGGGTCCTGTATTGTTGCAGTCTAGGCTGGTGATTGGCTGAGCTGGGTTGTGTATTGTTGTGGAGGGGGCAGCTGCTCAGTGAGAGGAGACAATGGAGCAGCTGTCTGGTGGTTAGCTCCTCACAGACCAGCTGGCCCTGGGGGGGAAAGGTGGTAGAGGATGAGGAGGAGGGGAATGAGGAGAGAGGCAAAGAAGGGGAGAGGAGGAGGAAGAAAGAGGAGATAAGAAGTAGGGGAGGGGATGGAGGATGGAGGAATAAAAAAAGGACAGAGGCAAGGGGTGAGAAAAGGGGACTTCTGACCCACAGTCAAGGGGAGAAAGGGGGCTTTGTGTGAGAGGTTTTTATTGTGGAGCAACCCCGTTAGAAAGGGCTTCTTGGCTAGGTCTTCTGTTTTTAGACCCAAACTTTGATAGCTTCCAGCTTGGCTAAGGGATAATATTTCATCAGAATTTGCAATTACAACTCAGAGAAAAACCTAAGGGTTTTTATAAAAATAACAACCCTTATCAATACCCTTCATTACCCTTTTTCTGAATTGAAAACTAAAAATCTCAACTTTTTTATAGTTTGTCTAATTCTAGTCATTTATTTTTTACAGCAATTTGTCTTCCGGGATGTGATGAAGAACATGGATTCTGTGATAAACCAGGAGAGTGCAAGTAAGTCCAAAACAAACTGCCTTCATGCATCTCTGAACTAAGCTTTTCCTCATCATCATTTTCCCTTTAATTACTGATATTTAATGAATGGTGTGTCTGCAGATGTCGTGTGGGCTTCACCGGGCGTTACTGTGATGACTGCATCCGTTACCCAGGATGCCTCCATGGCACCTGCCAACAGCCATGGCAGTGCAACTGCCAGGAGGGATGGGGTGGGCTCTTCTGCAACCAGGGTGAGTTTGTTGACAAATTCCCAAAAACCGTGTTGTTTTCTTCATCCTGGCAAGCCTCATATTTAATCTGTTTGGCTTATGACTCCTGTTTTTGGAAAATTATAGACCTGAACTACTGTACACACCACAAGCCATGTCTTAATGGGGCCACCTGCACCAACACTGGTCAAGGAAGCTACACATGCACCTGTCCACCTGGATATATGGGTGCAAACTGTGAGGTCCAAGTCAATGAGTGTTCAGGAAATCCTTGTCGTAACGGTGGCAGCTGCATTGTAAGTACCAATTTAAAAAGATAACAATGTCTTTTGATATAGCTATGGTCTTCTTTTTGTGCCCTAACCTTAAGTTGTTATCTGCACAGGACAATGACAGTGGCTACAAATGCACATGCCCCCCTGGTTTTTATGGAAACAACTGTGAGTTAAGTGCCAATACTTGTGCGGATGGGCCTTGTTTCAATGGTGGACGTTGTGTGGACAACCCTGAAGGCGGCTACTTTTGTCAGTGCCCAATGGGATATGCCGGTTTCACATGTGAGAAGAAAATTGACCATTGCTCCTCCAATCCCTGTTTAAATGGTAGGTTCTTATCTACATTTGTCAGTAGAACAACTCCACATTGTACTTAAGCCAAGTGGTTTAATAGTGGGAGACTAATTTTAAACAATTTAACTTTAATTTAAATGTAAATAATCTCTTGGTAGGTGCAGAATGTGTGGATCTGGTGAACTCCTACCTGTGCAAGTGCCCTGAAGGGTTTTCAGGTCCAAACTGTGAGGTTAGCAGCAGCATTTCTGGATACTGTCAATTCTTTCCTTGTCAAAATGGTGGAACTTGCCAGGAGACAATGGATGGCTACACATGTAATTGCCCCCCAGGTATGACACTTTTTAATCTCTTATTTGCTGTGATATGTCACTTTGGAGCAGCTTTTTGAGATTTTTAAATTCTGTTTGCAGGATATACTGGAATAAACTGCAGCTCTCCTATCTCTCGCTGCATTCACAACCCATGTCATAATGGAGCCACTTGCTATGAACGCGATGGTCGCTACGTGTGCGCATGTGTGCCTGGCTATGGTGGAAATAATTGCCAGTTCCTTCTACCAGAGGTTTCTGGGGGTTCCCAGCCAGTCATTGATGGACCAGATCGGCGATATTCATCCTCAGAAAGTGGGAATTCTGACATCGGTGAGGATGATGACAGCAGGTTTCCATGGACAGCTGTCTGTGCCGGCGTTTTCCTCGTTCTTGTGATTCTCATCAGTTGTTCTGTGCTGGTGGTCTATGTTCGGGTAAAGCTGCAAACCCGACACAGTCACCAAAGTGACAGCTTTCACAGTGACAGTCAAGAGACAATGAATAACCTGACAACCAATAACTGTCTTCGAAGTGACAAGGAGCTTGGTGGTTTGATGACAACGTCAATTAAAAACACTAATAAGAAGGCAGATTATCATTCTGACCTTGCTGGTTCACTTGGGGGTCTGAGTGGAATCAGCAGCCTGAATGGATCAGAGAAAAATGGCTTTAAGCCTCGTTATCCAAGTGTGGAGTACAACCTGGTTCATGAACTCCGACAAGAAGATCTTTCGCCATGTGCAGAGATGGAATTTAAAGAGTCAGAGCCCAAAAGCGAATCACTAGATGAGCCCAGCACAGAGGAAGAATTTAGGAAAAGACAAAGCAGGTACACAAGAATTCCCCTAAATACAATGTAAACCCATGCAGGATTAAGAATATTATTTCTAATCATTTTGTTGTTATTCCCACAGTATTGCATCAGAAACTAAACCAGTTGCAGAGTCCCCAGGATGCAGCGAAGCAAAAGATCTGTCATGCACTGATTTAAACTGTCCCACAGCGATGGATTCTCAGTACCACTCAACCTGCGATCTCAAATTCCAGTCAAGCAGTGAGGCTGTGTACCCCACTCCTAGTGACACCAAATACCAGTCTGTCTACGTCATATCAGACCAGAAAGACGAATGTATCATTGCTACAGAGGTGAGGACACCACTGATTTAAAACATTTTAGACTCAAAAAATATTGTTCGATTTTGTATTGTACTCCAATACTAACGTTGTTCTCTCTGTTTTACAGGTATAATTATGATATCAGTTTCCTGTGGTTGATGTTTATCCACACACTCACCAACCCTGAGCAGTAGAGCTCAACTTTTTTTTCCGGGAGGTTTTACTCCTGCTGTTTGCTGCTGTTCCCTGGGATTTCCTAGAGGACTTTGAGCCAAGGTAAAGAGGCGCCAGCGCAGAGTCATCACCTGCTTGGCCATAACCGAGGACTACAGTAATACTACGGGTCGTTTTAGAATATTTAGACCTTCGATGGACGCAGGTCTGTTGGTAAATATCTGCTACGGATAAAGCGCCAGAACAAAGTGCCAGAAACCGTACAGGTCTTGTACCGACACAATGCTGACTGAGAGTGTCAAAAAAAACTGCCGGAGAACTTATGATGAGCTTGCTTGATGTCTCATTGCAGCACTGGCAGATTCACAGCTCATAAGTCTATGTACTGTTCTCTCCTGATAAGCAGCGATAACCAGCATTGCCTTGGATGTCGACCGATGATAATGTACGGTGGTGTACCCACTAAATGAACAATGTTGTACCTTGAGTGTACTGAAAACTTATAAAGTACTGCTGTAGTACTGTTATGTGCTGTGGTTTTACATTGCTGTGTAAAATCTGTCCTGGATTTCCTACAGTTTTTGTTCTGTGCAGTGCTGCAGAGTTGAGTGTTGAGCTGTTGCAACAGCAGAAGTCCCTTTAGTCATAGGGTGCCTATTTTAGGAGATCAATTAATTAATTTTAAGCAAATAAAAAAATTATTTAAATTTTAGAAACACTTGTAGGACAGTAGAACACTCTCAATTCTACAGCACTGACAGATGTGGCTGAGCTGGTTCTCAGCAGGAAACAGAGACCTGAAAACTCCAGTAGTGACTGCAGATCGATCCACCATGGATGCTGTTGGGCCATACTGGCCTCTAAACCCTGACATGTCTTATACAAAGGGCAATATTTGGGGAAAGGAAAACAAGAACAAATGTACACATGATATTTAATTATCAAATCACCTGCTCAACCTAAAACTGACAGTTTGGCTTTTTCCTAAACTCTTGATGATGTTTTTTTTTTTTTTTCAAGAGAACAAGGCCGAGCTATAAAGTCTTAACTACCAAGACCTCATTGCACTATAGAGGTGTGTGTGAATATGTGTGTGTTAATGATTGTGTGTATGACAGTGTGTGTGAAAAGAAGAAACAAATCCCGCATTTTTGTCAATGTATAGGCTGCCCACTTACCCCAGTCTTCCACTATCAACCAATTAATGGACACCATCACTCCAGCTGCTGCTGGTTAGGATCTTTTGTTTTGTTTTGTTTTTATTTTATTTGTTATATAAAGAAAGATGTATGCATTTAATTTAATTATGTAATTATTTTTGTTCCATTTTGTTGTGCTGTTTTTGTTATGCCCAATATAATTTAAGTTGTGTTGTTTTTATTTGGCAGATGATGTATGTATGTAAGTATGTATGTATGCTTGTGTTAGGCACTTGAGACCACTGTGACTGTGTTGTATTTAAGAGAAAAGTCGTATGTACAGAGCCTGTCATTTTTTATAACTGGAAAATGTGATATTTTTCCAAAATAAAAGATAAATGAAATCTTCTCCAGTGGTGTTGGAAAGTATTTTATTCTTATTTAAAATAGTTTGGATTGACTTGAAATTACAGCAAAGAAAGTACAAGTATTTTAAAAAGTAGTATAATTTTAAGAAGAGGGATTTGTCGTCACTAAATGATTGTGTAAGCAGCGTTTGCATGATGTGTGTGTGGGAGCCTGTTTGCGTGAATCTGTCTGACACAGCAGAAGACTGTCTCCTTGTGGAACCACTAAATGAGACAAAGACACACCCCATAATCATAGACCGCTTAGCGAGCCTCTTCTGAGGCCAGAGTCATTTCTCTGTGTGGATCTGAATGTGAGTCCAAGTGTGTGTTTTGGTTCCCTAATGTGTTTGTGACTGAATCTCTTTTTGTCTATGAGCCTCTTTATTTGTCTATAAGTTCATGTGTGTGATCTTTTTTAAGCAGATGGGTATTTATAGCTAGAGATAGAAACCACCAGTCTGGATTTAGTCCTCATTGCCCCTGCCTGACAACACTCTGTATATAAATGTGTGTGAATGTGTGTGCCATTCAGCGACCACTGAGAGAATAGAAACAGCCATCAAAGAAACTCATATGGTTTGCATTCTCTTATAAACACACACTCTCAAGATAGGCAGTAAAATTGGATGACGGATGATCAGAACTTCACAACGGCTTCTAAAAGGATGAACAGGATTTAGTGTTGACATGAAGCAGATTACCACAGAGACAGACGTCATGGAGTGGCTAACTGATCTTAAAATGTAGATATGAAAATATATAAGCAATTCTTTAATCAATTTGACATAAAATTCATAAGTAATATAAAAAAGTAAAACCCCATTTTCCTTTTTGTAAATGAACCACCTAACTTATATAAATTGTTCTGGTCATGTCTACCATGTCATTGTATACATTTTTCACTTTGTGTCATACAGTTTTTATTGTTAAGCATTACACCATGAGGCCTGATAAACCTTAAGAAAAAGGTCAAAAATAAAATTTACCTGTTTGTTATATGAATAAAAGTTTTAAAGCTATAGTTTAGGGTTTAATGTTTAATTAATGTATGATTAATTAACAATTAATATCTTACCCACTATAACTCTGTTAGCACCGTCATTTACTAAAAATAAAAAACAGGTTGGACCAAAATAAGGTTGCTTTAACTGTCAAAGTACAGAGCAACGAAATTAACCCTTTGCATTTAACCCATCCTCTTGGGAAGGAGTGGGCTGCCATTGTGCTGCACCTGCAGTTGCATTGTGGGGTTAAGGGTCTTGCTCAGGGACCCAGAGTGGCAGTCTGTGGGAGTGGGGCTTGTACTCAGAACCTCTGTATTCCAAGCTCTATGCCCTAACCACTAGGCTGCCACTCCCACCAATACATCAGAGA